TTGGGCCCCTGCTTCTCCTGCCGCTGCTGCTGCTGCTGCTGCTGCTGCTGCTGCTGCTGCTGCAGCTGGGTCTCCTGCAGCAGCAACAGCAGCAGGAGAACTAGCAGCAAGAGAAGCAGCATTTGACTCTCCCCCTCTCTCTATAGAGTTAGTGCGCCCGTGGGCCCTCATGCCGGCCAATGGGGCCCCCATAGAACTCCTCATCACCGGGGGGGCCCCCGGAGAAGCAGAGGAGACAGTGCGCCGCTGCTTCACAGCTCGCTGCAGCAGAACAGACAAGTACCCAGTCAAAGCCACCATACACTGCGGAGACACTCACCACCCCCAGGGGGCCCCCCCCCAGGGGGGCCCCCAGCAGGGGGCCCCCAGCAGGGGGGCCCCCCGGGCTGGGTATAGGGGTGAGGGTACCGTGGTGGAGGTGTTTGTTCGGTTGGTGCCGGCAGTATCGGCTCAGTGTGTAATCCTAACAGAAGACGAAGAGGAGATAGGGAGAGTACAGATAGCAGCAAGCAGCAGCAGCAGCAGCACGAGCTGTACATACACCGCATACTACGACAGAGACACCGCAAGGTGTCTCCATTGTCCCCCTGGATTTGTTTGTTCTTTTGGGCGTCTCTTTATTTGTAAAGAATATCAAAAGGGACAATGTACTATTTGTCCACAGGGAGAAGAGTACGTAAACCCTAATAAACCCTAAACCCTAATAAACCCTAAGAAACCCTAATAAACCCTAAACCCTTATAAACCCTAATAAACCCTAATAAACCCTAAACCCTAATAAACCCTAAACCCTTAAGAATATCAACTGGGACAATGTACTATTTGTCCACAGGGAGAAGAGTACGTAAACCCTAAACCCTAATAAACCCTAATAAACCCTAAACCCTAATAAACCCTAAACCCTTAAGAATACCAACAGGGACAATGTACTATTTGTCCCCAGGGAGAAGAGTGCGTAAACCCTAAACCCTAATAAACCCTAAACCCTTATAAACCCTAAACCCTTAAGAATACCAACTGGGACAATGTACTATTTGTCCACTGTTGCTGCTGCTGCTGCTGCTGCTGCTGCTGCAGGTGCCCCAGCGAGAATCTCCGCCTGCTGGGGGCCCACGGCAGCACCCCCGCCTGGGGTTGCTCTGGCTGTCGCCCGATACAAACCCCAGCAGCAGCAGCACGAGAAGATATAAACTCAAAGTACATTTTGCTGCTGCTGCTGCTGCTGCTGCTGCTGNTGCTGCTGCTGCTGCTGCTGCTGCTGCTGTTGCTGCTGCTGCTGTTGCTGCTGCTGCAGATGTTACTGTTCCTGTATTTCCTTAGTATAATTATATTTATTTGTTGTTTATGTTTGTATTTGTGTATCAGGGGCAGGAGACAGTCTCCTCCTCCGTGTCGCTCTGGCTACTACCTAGACGCTGCGGGTGCATGCAGGGACTGTCCCCTCGGCTATGCATGCAACGGAGACACCAAAGAAGCATGCAGACAGGGGTTTGTGGGGTCTACCCCCGCAAGCCCCAGGGCTGCATGCGAGCGCTGCCCCCAGGGACATGTCTGCATGCACCCCGGCAAAGCCCCAATAGCTTGTCCCTCAGGTAAGCTTTCAACTGTCTCCTTTCTACTGTCTCCTTTTCTTCGACTGTCTCCTTTTTAGCTGTCTCCTCTACTTTCAACTGTCTCCTTTTTAGCTGTCTCCTCTCCTTTCAGCTGTCTCCCTTTCCTTCAACTGTCTCCTTTTCTTTCAACTGTCTCCTTTTCTTCTTTCTACCTATCTGTCTCCTTTTCCTCTACCTGTCTCCTTTGTTTCCTTCTCCTTACATCCATACATCTATACATACATACATCTATACATCTATACACACACCCACACACGCATGCATGCATGCATGCAAACGCATGCATGCATGCACCCACACATGCATGCATGCACCAACACATGCATGCATGCACCCACACATGCATGGATGCGCATGCATGCATGCACCCACACATGCATGCACCCACACATGCATGCATGCAAATGTTGATATATTGTTATGTGTGTGTGTGTGTGTGTGTGTGTGTGTGTGTGTGTATGTGTGAAGGTATTGTTGACGGTTCAGGTGTATGTCTGCCTTGCCCTGGTGGGTATTCTTGTGATTCGGGTGTACAGACAGCCTGCGAGCGTTATTATTTTTATTCTTTACCTGGGGACTTGCGGTGTCGCCCGTGTCCCCCTGGGGCTGAGTGTCTAGACCCCAGCCAGCCCCCTGCTGCATGCATGGATGGAGAAGCATTGATAGAGGAGGAGACAGAGACAGGAGAGAGACAGCGGAGGTGTCTCCCCTGTCCCCCCGACAGCTACTGTCCCTCTCCTCTTCTTATTTTACCTCTTTCTCCTGGCTATCAAAGAGACCCCACAAACTCAGCTGTACAGACACCCCAAGACACATGCCACACACACCTCACCGATCCCAACTGTCCCCCAGGCGGTATCTGCTGGGCAGGCAGATTCTTCCCCTGTCCAGAGTAAGACACACACACACAGAATACATACATACACTGTATAGCTAGCTAGCTAGCTAGCTAGCTAGCTAGCTAGCTAGCTAGCTAGCTATATATATAGATAGATAGTTAGACATATATATACATATATATATA